GGATCTCAAATAAGCCTACAGAAGCTCTATCTAAGAAAGATGGCCTGGTGGGACCAGCAGTTAGCGTAATGGCTATGTCGCTGAACTCTCTACTCATGTAGTTGACCATGGTCCAAGTCCTGGACCCAGTGGCTTAAACTCACTCCGGTCACATGTGCGTGCGTGCCCAAGATCCCGAGAGGTGAATGGAGGAGAAGGGATTGTGGCATAGCCATCCCCCCTGGGGGTTGATTTCTTGCTTTCTGTCTCTGTCTGTCTGGTGAGTGCACGCGCCCTATAGCAAAAAAAAAAAAAAAAAAAAAAAAAAAGAAAGATGGCCTGATACCATAAATAGTTCTGCCTGGCAGAGGGGATTAGAGAAGATATATGAAAGAATTTATAACATAAAATAACCTGGACTTTTCCAGCCTAGCATTGTAATCAGTAGAGATTGCAAAAGAGCAACCACACCAGAGGATTATCTTGAGAAAGACTTTGAAGGAAGAAAAAGAGACTGATCTTTGCTAGCAGATGGTATGTCACAGAATACTTGGTAGGCAGGGCTGAATTGAGAAGGGTTATGTGTGATTTGTGTGCTGGGTGTCTGCTTTTCAACAGTTTGAGTAGTTGACATGTAATTATTTTCTCAAAAATATTTAAAACCATACTGTCTCTGTTGTTACAGAGTCACAAACAAAATTATAAAAAATTATAAGAAATATTTTGAATGTTATCTTTAAAATTCAGTATTTTGAAATTTTGAAAGTTGTTTATTAACTTTCAGGAACTATGGAGTATGAGCAAATTTTTTTTGATATGTAAATTAAATGTTTGTGGAAAAATGTAAAAAGAAATAAAAGGAAAAAAAGCCCCAAAATGATATTTATGATTCATCTATTACACATGTTACAACTTTCTTCTCCCAACCTTTGGATTTTCTTTTAACTTTGCTAATAATGTGTTATATAGGTTGTATAATTAAAGCCAAATGTACCAATTTTCTCTTATTATTTAGCTTCTTTTCTACCCTAAGACCACAGAGATAGTACCCTATATTTTTGTCTAGAAATGATAAAGTTTTCATACTGAGAGGGTGTATCCCCTTCCTTTACTCACTGTGCAAAGATTTATCCTGGCTCTTATATGTCAAATTTCAAAGAAAAGCAAATTTTTCTTTAAGCAACCAGAAAAATGACCACATCACTAATAAAAGAAATCAATTAAGATTGGACTCAGACATCCCTTAAACACAAAAAGAAGGAACACCAAATACAGTGGATGCTAAATAGGTGTGGGAAGATCCCTAAAGAGAACACCCCA